TGCCTATCCCCCTGCACCCAGCCATCTCCTCCTGATGCAGCTTCTGTCCCCCCTGCCCCTGTCCCCAGCTTACTTTTGCCCCATGCCAGCAGGCTCCATTGCCCATGCAGCCTGGGGCATCCAGTCCAACCCCAGTCCAGCCCTGTCATTGCAACACACAGTCTGCACTGCTGCCGCAGGTTGGGGCCATGAATACGACTCTCCCATAATTAGATTCGATACCTGGAAAATTATAACCAGGGATCCTGGTTTCCCTGATAAAAAAGAATTCACAAATTATCTGATAAACCCCCCAAACCTGTTATTAAAATTAAAGCCCCCCCCAGTGCCCCTCACTCTCCCCCCACAACCCCCCCAGCCCTGCTCTTGCCCCTCACTTTCCCCACAACAGCTCCCCAGCCCTACTGGTGGTCCTCAGTTCCTCCCACAGCCCCCCTGGCCCTGCTTGTGCCCCTTGCCCCCCACAACAGCTCCCCTAGCCCTGCTTGTGCCTCTTGATCCCCCCCACAGCCTTGCTGGTACCTCCAGCTGCCAGGGCTACAGACCCGGGTCCACAGCCCCCTGCCCCTGCTCCCCTCTGCTGCCTGCTGCGGGCTCAGGCAGGGTGGCTCCCCACCACCACGCGCACTCCCGGGGGCCAGGAGGGGACCCATGCAACCAGATTTGTGTGTGGGGCAGGTTGAGGGCTTGAGCTCCATCCCTGTTTCCATCCCGTGGGGCCTCTGCAGTCCCGCAGGCATGACCCCGCGCACCTGGGAACAGCGGGGCTGCACGGGGATCACCTGCTGCTGCCCTGGTGATGTGCCTCCTGCACCTGCCACTGCATTCAGGGGTGCAGCCCTGCGCCACTTCCCTCAGTGCAGCCCCGCGCGCAGGAGGCACATCGCTGGGGCAGCGCTGGGCAAGCAGTGGTGAGATCTCCCTGCGGCTCCTCTGTCCCCAGCCAAGTTGGGTTGCGGGGGAGGGAAGCAGGGTGGCAGGGGACAGTAGGCTAAAAGGTAAAATCCACATTTTCTCTAATAAAAATGGGAAATCTAGTTTTCTCTGTTCTCCCGTGGGAAACGGAAAACCCGGATCCCTGATTATAACACAATATATTTTTCCACCTACGGTATCTAATTATGGAAGGGAGGAGGTCGCCTTAAATTCAAGTCAATATGGTATGAGGGGGTAAAAAGGGGGTTCAGCAAACACTTCCCTAAGCTAACTCCCTGCAGCTCGGAAGCTCCTCATTGAAGCCCAGGGTCTGCCTGCTGGGTCTGGCACCACCTCGGGAGGGATCAGGGCAGGGCAAATGTCTTCCTGCACCTGGTGCATGGGTGGGACGGGCACAGCCCTGGTGGGTGCTGAGAGTGGAGGTGCCCCCAATGCCCTCTCCTGACCACAGGCAGAACTACACTGGCTCCCAGGGGTGGAGGAGCTGCTCCCGTATATGGATGCGTCGATGCTGTGTCAGGCGGCCAGCCTCAATGAAGCCCTTCCCGCAGATGGGGCAGCAGAAGGGGCGCTCCCCTGAGTGAATGCGCTGGTGCCGGGCCAGGTCCGGGCGGCGCACGAAGCACTTGCCACACTCCTCGCAGCGGTGCGGCCGCTCTCCTGAATGAAACTTGCGGTGGTTGGAGAGGCCGGCAGGCTGGGCAAAGCTCTTGCCACACTGGGTGCAGCGGTACTGCTTCTCCCCTGAGTGGATCTTGCGGTGGGTGGCCAAGGCATCTGAGAGGGCGAAGCTCTTGCCGCAGTCGGGGCAGCGGTGCGGCTTCTCACCCGAGTGGAACTTGCGGTGGGAGGCCAGGCCGGCACGCTGCGTGAAGCGCTTCCCGCAGTCGGTGCAGCGGTATAGCTTCTCCAGTGAGTGGATCTTGCGGTGCGATGCCAGTGTGTCGGAGCGAGCAAAGCTCCGGCCACACTCAGCGCAGCCGTAGGGCTTCTCGCCCGAGTGCACCTTGCGGTGGATGGCCAGGTCGTAGGGCCGGGTGAAGCTCTTCCCACAGTCGGGGCAGCCGTGCGGCTTCTCCCCAGTGTGCAGCCGGTCATGCAGCGCCAGGCGCGATGGGCAGTCAAAGAGCTTCCCACACTTGGGGCAGGGGTGGCGCTTGGGATTGGTCTTGGAAGCCAGGTCCTGCTTTCCCCTAGGGGCCTCGCCCATGGGCCCTTCCTCAGCTCTGTCCAGGGTCCTGGCACCTGCTGAGTGGGCAACAGAAGCCACAGGTTGGCCCTGGCGCTGCTGGCAGAGGGAAGACACTGCTCCTCTCCCCTCCTGGCAAGTGTGTGTTATGACCATGGGCTGGGTCGTCAACACCAGCACAGGCACCAGCCCCAGCCCAGCCTGGGTCCTTTCTTGAGCATATTAACCAGGCACCAAGAGCCCCCTCTGGCCTCAGTCCATGAGCAAGTAGAGAGAAGGCAGAGGCAGAGTCCCACGGCTCTTGCCAACAGGCTCCCATGGCCATGAAGCTGGAGATGCCCCAGTGACTCTGAGTGCACCTCAGAGCTTGTATGGACATTGCTTCCTTGGGGAGATTCACCAGAGACCCTGGTGCATTGCCAGGATCCAGATTTTACATAGGCGGGGGTTATGGGATATGGAAAGAAAAGACTGGAAAGGCCTGGCCCCTTTCAGGCCACAACATTTGGGGCTGGCAGGGACCTACGGCCAGAAATGGAGCCTGGGGGAGAGTGGGAAGACAATGCTGTAAGCTCCCTACCGACTTCAGCTTTGTAGCAGACTCCAGCCACATACGCCTGAGTAGGCCAAGTGACTAGATATGGGGAGAGGCCAGGAGAGATCAAAGATCCCCCTGCAGAAGAGAGCAGGGGTCAGTTAGGCTCCGAAGGCTGGATGATCCCTGCCCAATAAAGGGAAGATGCCCCAGTTTCCTGCCCAAGGGCCTTCCTTTGGCACAGGGGCATGGGCACCTGAGACAGTATACACTCGGGGAGCCAACGGGCAGAGAGTCCGGTCAAGCGGTAAGACCCTGCCATTGGGTCCCCTCACCCTCTGCTGTGAGCAGAGGCAGGACACCTCCCAAATCACCTCTTTTTTCCCAGCAAGACATGGCAGGTGAGTGGGATTGGAAGGTTTCTGAGTGGGTTGGGGATGACAGAAGGGACTGTAATTTAGCAGAGGAGCCCTCCACCAGAGTCCTGGCCCAGGAACCAGGGGAGAAGAAGGGAAAAAGCAGAGCCACCTTCTTCAGGGTGCAGGAGGGTTTCTAGGGGGGCCCTGGAAGCTGTGCCATTCGAGAACCAATCCCCATCCAAATGCTCCAGTTTTCCCTGATGGACGGTGCCTCTTGCTGCTGGGAAGGACAGTGCCTCACCTGCTTCCGGGGAAGAGCTCGGTCTGGGGAACCAGCCTGAGGTGCTTTCATCGGCTGAGTCCCAGGTCTCATCTGTGCCGGGGGAGCCTGCAATGGGACGGAGCCCAGATGTTAATTATACAAGAGCAAGTCAGATGTGGCTGAGAGCTTGTTTCCTAAAGACCTGAACAACCTGAGTTTAGAAGGGGGTCACAGTGGGCAGCAGAGGAGGCTTAATGGGGCTCAGTCACCGACCAGGCCCAAAAAGGACAAAGGAGCTTCCTGTTGGGTGCTGCTCTCCCAGCACCAGCACAGCCCCAGCCCGTCCCAGAGGGCAGGGACCCAGAGCCCCAGGCTCTGGCGTGGCACATTACCTGACGTTTGGCGGGGCTGGGCCTGGTCTTTGCGGATGCGAGGTGGCTCGCCCCGAGGCCCCAGGCTCCCACTCCATCCGGCCTCCCTCTGGGGCCCATGCAAAGGCTGGGGTTGCGGGTGCTCCAAGCAGGAGTCAAGAGGCTCCCACAATGCCCCCCCCGGCACCATCTTGTCTGACGCTGCCTCCTCGACCTTCACACACACTGTGACCTGGCGACAAGACAACCATGTCATTGGGGACCTGGCAGAGATGGGGGTGGGAGGGAAAATCCGCAAACCCAGGGAGACGTGGACAGCAGGATCAGGGATCAGGGTGAAACACTCTCACCTGGAGCTTCTCGTCCTCCTCCGCCTGCCCCAGCTGGAACCCCTCAGCCAGCGTCACAGCCTCGGCACAGGTCTCCACGCCGCACCCCCACTCCCAGCTCTGCATCTCCCGGGGCAGGATGGCCAGGAACTGCTCCAGCACCACCAGCTCCAGGATCTGCTCCTTGCTGCGGTGCTGGGGCTCCAGCCAGCGCTGGCAGAGCTCTTGTAGACGGCTGCAAACCTCCCGCGGCCCCTCGGCCTCCTGGTAGCAGAAGCTGCGGAAGCTCTGGCGCCGTGCCTCCAGGGTGGGAGTGTCATCCCCTGACACCAGCTCCAGCGGTCGTTGGGGAACCGGGACCGGCACAGTTTCAGCAGAGAATGGTGGGTCCTGTGCCACCTCCCAGCCTTGGACTGGCTCCTCCTGCAGCTCCTGCTTGATCTGCTGGGGTGTTGCCCATCTCAAGGACCTCCTGCTGGTCCCTCCTTGAACGACACCCAAGACTTTCTCCTTGGCTCTTGCTCCAGGTGCAGGGGCTACTGGGTCCCCTTCCTCTGTCTTCAGCAGGGCTGGGAGAGGCAGGCTGGGGGCTGGCATGGGTGCAGGCCCTAGCTCAGCAGCCATGTTCTCTGCAGGGGAGGCTTCAGCCCAGTGTGGGGCCTGTGCTCTCGTTGTCTCTCCACTCGCTCCTGGACCCTGTCAGCAGCGTCTGTCCCCTGGCCCACCTACAGGGACAGTGACAACGTAGAATTTGGGGGCTGACAAGGGACCCAGGATCATGATGTGCTACTGACACACCCAACTCACCCACACAGAGGGGCTGACCCCTGCCAACCCTGACACAGGGTGTGGGTAGGCGGCCAGCTTCCATAATACTCTCCCTAGGTCCATCCTCATAGGAGGCCTTAGGGAGCAGCCCTGGGGAGGGTCCCGGGTGTCTGCCACCCCACAGCCCACATATGATCCCCACCCACTATAGCTTCACACACAACATACCCAACAGGCATCACACGTGGCTCCCAGCCTGCCTCCCCAAAACATCTCATCCACAACCCCAGTGGCCCACCACCCCAGAGCCTGATTCCTGCACAGGATCCACGCACAGCATCCAGCATCATGTCACACAGTCCACCCTCTAGTACAGCCCCAAAGCCCAGCCTTGCCAGTACAACCCTACAGTCTATGCCTCCACGACCCCACTGTAGTGACAGGAGAGAGAATTTAGAGACACTCCCTTTCTTAGAAGACCATGGAAGTTGGGAATACGGAGAGAGCCCCTCAGTTAGGGTAGTCAGTTATTGCCAGATGAAGGGTTGGCAGAGGCTGCCCACTGCTCCACAAATAAAGTGTATTGTTTAGTTCTTCTAATAGAAGCATAGAAAATGAGGGTTGGAAGGGACACATCTAGTCCAACCCCCTGCTCAAAGCAGGACCAGGCCCAACTACATCATCCCAGCCAAGGCTTTGTCTACCTGGGTCTTAAAAACTTCCAAGGATGGAGCTTCCACCACCTCTCGGGGTGACCTGTCCTACTGCTTTACAACGCTCCTCGTGAGAAAGTTCTTCCTGTCTTCATGTGCAAGGCAGAAGGAGCTGTGAAGGGCCCAGCTGCAGAGCTGAATACTTCAAAAAGAGTTGCCCGTACATGAAAGAGGGTGGCCCAAAAGAGCCACCTAGCAGAGGGGATTTGTGGGTAAGAAGCCACCTTACAAGGTGCAATTTTCTACATGCAAAGAAAGTGAGCAAAGGAGCAGATGAAAAGCAACATGCCCCAAACCCTGGGCTGCATCTGGGAAGCTCTCCTTGCACTGCAATGAGTGCCTAAACCCTAAAAACCTCATATGCATGCAGGTGACAGCATCCCACAATTTTAGATAGACAGGGCTGCATCAAGTACTGCCAAGGAGAGTGACTGGCTTCTGCCAGTAGCAGTGGAAGGAACAACAGGAAGTTAATACTGAACCAGAGCAGGAACACAGAAATATTAAACCTGAGGCCAAAAGTGAGTCCAGCAAAATAATGGGCTATCCCAGGGCATATCTCCCAGTGAAATGGAGATGCATGAGAAACCTCCAATATAAAAATAAAAAAGAAAATAAGATATGTGAACGCCCGTTCGCTGTGGGAGGTGACACCGAGGGAGGTTGCAGCAATTTGAAACTTGGTGAGAAACTGAATCGAGTTAAGCGTGTGCTTGCAGTGCAAGAAGACAAGGCATCTGGGTCTCTGGATGATCCTCTTGACCACGGGTGGGGAAAATGAGGCCCGGATGTGGCCTGCCAGGCCATTCTACCTGGCCTGCGGGGCCCCTGAAATTTTTAGAAAATTAATATTTATCTGCTCCTGCGTGCCTGTCATGTGACCCTTGATGGCTTGCCAAAACTCAGTGAGCAGCCCTCCGCCTGAAATAATTGCCCGCCCCTGCTCTTGACCATCACCGTCCAAATCGGGACCACACCGGCTGCTTTCCTCTCTCTCTGCATGTAGCATTACCCTAACCCCAACCCTAACCCTTCAGTTGTTCCAGAGCACAAGAAGCACCCACGTGTTTCCAGGGAGAAACGTACAGAGGGGAACAAAAGCCAGCACTACGCACAGGGAGAGGAAAGCAGCCAGAGTGGTCTGCAGCTCATTAACGCTGTGCGCTGTGCCAGGGCTCTGAAGCTAATGAACCCTGGGCTGCATGCAAAAGCCCAGCCACGGAAAGCGTGAGTCCACTGGATCCCAAGTGGACCTGGAGGAGAAGGTCCCACCCAAAAGCAAACCAGGACCTGGATCAGATGTTTCATTGGTTCAAGGCATAAAGCCACATTGTTGAGCGCTCCTCCCTCGCGGCGTGCTGGTGTTTATCAAACCGGGCCATGGCTACGCCCAAATCCCTCCTTTCTCTTGCAGTCTCTGCATCCACTGGTGGCTCCCTCCCAGGGCACGCAGCTGCCCCCATCCCCGGGCTCAGCCCCAGTGCAACAGGAGCAGCTGCAGCCCGTGCCCCAAAGCCAGGCACAGGGAATTGCGGCCGTCTCTATCTGTAACCCCCCTTACCCATGCTTCACTGCCCTGCACAGAATCAGACTGCCCCCCTTGGTCTCTAGCACTGCTCCTGTCCTGCAGATAGCCCCTCCCTTGCCCAGGACGGCTGGTACCCCACAACCCCAACCCTGCAGGCAGCGGCTGCAGAGGGTGCCGCCTCCCACCCAGCAGCCAGGACCCACTCCCTGCTCCCTGGATACCCAGAGCCCTAGGCAGGCACTGGTGTGGTTGGTGCCAGTGCAATGAGGTAGGAAGTTCCCGTGGACCTAGACCCGCTGGTCTGTGACCACCTTCACCTTGCCCAGGACCCCAACGCTGTGGGATGAACCCTGTCACTGCTGCAGCGCTGCCTGCCAGAAATTGCAGAACACCTCCCTGCCATACAAAAACCCGGAACCAGCCCTTCAGAGAGGGGACCGCCTCCCCCCCAGCAGCCAGGACCCACTCCCTGCTCCCTGGATACCCAGAGCCCTAGGCAGGCACTGGTGTGGTTGGTGCCAGTGCAATGAGGTAGGAAGTTCCCGTGGACCTAGACCCGCTGGTCTGTGACCACCTTCACCTTGCCCAGGACCCCAACGCTGTGGGATGAACCCTGTCACTGCTGCAGCGCTGCCTGCCAGAAATTGCAGAACACCTCCCTGCCATACAAAAACCCGGAACCAGCCCTTCAGTTTGGGGGCACATGCGGGGTGGAAGATAAGTAGCAATGGGCAGGAGATGTGGGGCTCCGTGTGGGGAGCTCCACTTCCCACGGACAGACCTGCTTGGCATGGCATCACGGAGTCTGGACAGCACCAGCTGGTCCCCAGAGCCAGGGTGGGCTGGTGCCTGGGCTGGGGAGTGCAGGGGTCACGCCATCCCAGCCTGGGCAGGAGCAGGCCTCTCCCCCCTGAGAGCTACAGGGGGAGTTGGGGATGGAGGGAAAAGGAGGTGCAAAGAGACAACCAGCGTTGCTGAGGGTCCCTAAGGAGACAGTGAGCTGGGGAGGGGGAAGGGGGAGGAAGGGGGTGTCTGTGGGCAGCCTGGTCCAGCGCTTGACCACTCGCAGCATCAGAAACTTCCTCCTCCTCTCCCACCTCAGCTTCCCCTGCTGCAGCCCGTGCCCACTGCCCCTAGTCCAGAAAAGCCCATCTCTGCTCCGTACAATCGCCCTTTGGGTATTTGAAGGTGGTTATCAACCCCCCGCTTGTCTTCTCCAGACAAAGTCACCCCTGGTCTTGCCGGGACAGAGCCAGGGCAGGGTCCCCGGGCTTGGTGGGGGACAGGACCCATTGTGCAGCCGGAATCTCAGCAGCCGGAGCTGGAGAAGAGGGACCAGGGGTGGCAGCATCACACCGTCCTGACTCCCGTCCCTGCTCTGCCTTTCTGCTGCCCCCGAAGCTACCGGTGACGGGCCCTTGGTGGCCCCCGCTGCCATCGGGGGGCTTAGGGCTCTGCTGGGCTGCGGCCCAGGCCCCCGCACAGCATTGCACAGCGCTGCTTAGAGGGTCCTGCCTCCGCTCGGGGTCACACTAACACGCCCATGTGGGATCCCCCCACCCCAGTCCCACCGGTATGGGCTATGGGGGTTTTAACTTCCTCTGCCACCCGGCCTCTGCCAGGGGTCTTTGGGGGGCATTTTAATGACCCCTGCATGGCAGAACTGGGGTCCACATTGCCGGCAGGGGAGGGGGGTGCTTCGGGGTCTGGGGTAACGCGCCCTGTAGCTGCACAGCAGCCTCCAGCCCCTGAAGAGGGGGCAGGGGGCAAAGACTAAACGTGTGAGGTCCCTTCCAGCCCGGATGTCATATCATTGCGAAGACCGAGGGGTGGGGGGTGGTATTTAATAGCTGTCTTCAGCTCCCGGGCAAAGAGGATGGAGCTGGGCTGCTCTCAACGGTGGCAGGTGACAGAGCACGGAGCAATGGGCTCGGGCTACAGCAGGGTAAGCTGAGGCCTGGGCCGAGGAAGGCGTCTCAGGAGCCCGGCAGGGCTGCGGCTCCGCCCTGGGAGGTTTCCAAGCCCGGCAGGGAGGTGGTGAGCTCCGCTGGGACCGCAGCCTCCGGGTGCCCCCGCCCGGCCGGGCCGGCCCGACCC